CTCTCTGACGTCTATGACACATCTCCCTGACGTCTATGACACATCTCCCTGACGTCTATGACACATCTCTCTGACGTCTGTGACACATCTCTCTGACGTCTGTGACACATCTCTCTGACGTCTGTGACACATCTCCCTGACGTCTATGACACATCTCCCTGACGTCTATGACACATCTGACGTCTATGACACATCTCTCTGACGTCTATGACACATCTGTGTCTGCAGCATCAACATGTCTGTAGATCATTCTTCTATCCCTTCTATAAATCATTATTCCTTATATCTATATATAAGGGGCCTCGTAGCCTGGTGGATAGCGCGCAGGACTCGTAATTCTGTGGCGCGGGTTCGATTCCCGCACGAGGCAGAAACAAATGGGCAAAGTTTCGTTCACCCTGAATGCCCCTGTTACCTAGCAGTAAATAGGTACCTGGGAGTTAGTCAGCTGTCACGGGCTGCTTCCTGGGGGTGGAGGCCTGGTCGAGGACCGGGCCGCGGGGACACTAAAGCCCCGAAATCATCTCAAGATAACCTCAAGAAGAAGATCCCTAGTTTTGAACTTTGTCCCTTTGGCTTTGTCAATATGTCTTGATCTTGTGTGTCCCGCCCAACACAACCGAGTCAAGAAAAATAAACAAAACGACTCAAAAACACAAATGTCTTGATGCCATCCTACTCTTAATCCTGTCAACAGGATTAAATCCTGTCTTAATCCTGTTCTATTTCCCTGTCTACTTATAAAATTCTGATTCAATTCCACAACTTGCTCCTTTAGTTCAGTCCATCTGTCCACTACTAACACGCTAAAAGTAACCTTTCTAACACCTCTATGATGCATATGAGTCTTCAAGCTTCCACCCGTATGCTCTAGTTCTGTTGATACTTATTGTAAACATTTCCTATTTTTTCCACTATGTCAATCCCCCTAAGTATTTAAGACATCTCTGTCATGTCTCCCCACCCCTCTCTCTCTCTCTTGTCTTTTCTGGTGTCGTCAGGTCTAGTTCTTTCAGTCTCTCTTCATACCCCCCATCCCTTGCAATTCTGGGGCGAGCCTCTTGCAAATTTCTGAACTTTTTAGTGTTTTCTGATATTTTTGTTTAAGCAACGACTGTTGTGACGTAGACAAGTGTTAAAGAGATCTTAAATGCGTCTTAATGAAGGTTCGTGAATGCTGTTCTTAGGTTCCGCTAGTGTAGAGGTCGCTGATAACGTTATCGTGTGTACATGACCCTCCGGAGGTAGGTGTGGTGTCATGGTCGCTCTAAGGGGGGCTTTCTCTGGTCTTTCCAGGGAGGTAGTTTCCCTTCGTTGTGTACCACCTTTGTCTCCTATCACATGTTCCCACTTCCATCACCTTACACTTGAAGGTCATGAAATCCAGTAGCCATTTCTCGAATCAACTCTGCAGCTTGTCAAGCTCTCCAGGTCATCTTGGATAATTGTACAATCCTCATCATTTTTTGAATCCTCATATGCATTATCTGCAATGTAAAACATATATTGGACTTGGCCATTAACCTAATTGAGATATAGTATGGATCCCAGGACCCATTCTTGCGGTACTCCGCTTGTTACCCTCAGCTAGTCCGAGTTCTCACCCTCACTGTGACTTCTTAAATTTCTTTAGTGATCTCTTGGGGCGGTACTGTATCAAAGGCATTTTAGTAGTGCAGAAATATACTCTGTGCCCAACCTTGCCTCTCCTGCCTTATTTTCCTTACTGAAGTGATGAAATAAAGCAGGGATTAAAGCCATAGAACGCCATCAGGTTTATTAGGCATGATTTCCCTTTCCTATTTCTCGCTTGGGGTTTAACGAGTCTTATTTCTTGTTCGTCTTTCGAGCACCTTGCAAGGGATACTTGTCTGTAACGCGGGTCTGTAGTTAAGGTCTTTTCTCCCTCTCCTTTCTTGTATATTGACACCCCAATGTCTTGCAACAACTGGGCAATTTGTCCTTTGTAAGTGACTAACGATGAATGCTAGAGGTATGCTGAGGGCCTGTGCTGCTTCTTTTAACATCTACGGGGATTCATTATCTGGTCCAATAGCTTTAGTTTCGTCTAGTGATGCTACTTGTTACGTTACTTCCTCTGCTGTTACTTTAATATTTAATAGTCTCTCATCTAGGGTTACCTCCTGTTTAAGTACTAGAATGAGTTCAGGTTCATTCCTGAACACTCCATGGAAGCTGCCACCTCAGTTTGACTTGGTTCAACATTTACTGAACTGTGTGTGTGTGAGTGTGAGTGTGAGTGTGTGTGTGTGTGTGTGTGTGTGTGTGTGTACTCACCTGGTTGTGCTCGCTGGGATTGAGCGTCGGCTCTTTGGTCCCGCCTCTCAACTGCCATATCTACCTTGTTAGCTGACCCCTCCTTCCCCCATTGTTAGCTGGGGATGCCTGCTTGATGGGGTTCTGGGAGTTCTTCTACTCCCCAAGCCCGGGGAGTAGTGTGTAGTAGAATAAAATGCCGCTCCCAGCAACAGCCTGGTGG